ACACCAAAAACACTTCATTTACTTTTCTGTCTAAAATAAGGGTTGATGCCATTGTTTCTGGGATTGTACCTGGAAAATTTCAACGGATTAAATATGTTACTTCCAAAATATAAATAAGGCCATGGAATAAACTGATTTTTTCCTACCACATGAAGGAATAGATTCATGACTTCAGCACTACTGCATCATAAATTTGGGAAAAAATCAAAACTAAAAGGTTTTATTTTTAGAATTTTATCTTCCTAGACTTTTTAAAGTTACAACAAATCTTATTTTTGCATCTTTTCAAGTTAAAAACCACCTGAGAACTAATTTTAATTTATCTCAGGGCAGAATGAAGCAAGTGGGAACGAGGTCCCTGCAGCAGCCCATCAATCTGGAGCAAAATTCAGGAGACTTTGGTGAGGCCACTGTAAAGGATTCCCTCACATTTGTTCCCTTTCCCTGCTGTCATCCCCACTCTCTGAGCTTTTGTTTCAATCCCCAGAGTTTTGGCTTTCCAAGAATGAACTGGGAAAGATAAAATCCAGTGGGGTCAGGAATATAAACAATGCTCTGCGCCTTCTAGCACCGACACCTCAGAAGGGTTATTGGAAAAGGGGAAGGAAGGGCAGGGGAAGGACTTTTCCTTCTATTTGAGAACTTAAAAGTGTCATTTGATGTTTTATCAGAAGGAGTGAGGACACAGATAAAAAGCTGCCTGTTGCAGTGATGTGTTGATAAAAATCCTGTTTGTATAGATTTTTCTGGTGCTGGGCAGCTGAGGATTCCCTTGGAGGGGAAAGAATGGACACAAAATGAGGAGATGAGGCTGTGACACAGAATCCCAGCCTGGTCCCTGTCCTGATCCCCCTGACAGCCCCTCTGCTCTGCTGAGTGATCCTTTAGGAGTTATTGCTCCCTGGGAGGGGTTTGGAGCTCATTCCTTGGAGCAGGGCAGGGACAGGCAGGGAGAACCCCTGTGTTCCCCTGGAGAAGGTCATTTATCCAGGGAAAACACCCTGAGAAATCCTCCTCTGTGAAAAGGCAAAGTCACCTCTTAAATCCCCGCCTAAAAAACTGCAAAACCCCAAAGCTTCCCAGAAAATCCCAGGTTTGTGCTTGGATAATGAAATCACTTCAACGTTTTGTCCTTCCTGCCTTCAGCAAAWTGCTCTGGGTGTCTGAAGGGCTCTTCAGAAGAATTGTCCCCGAATTTCTGGGGGACACACACCCCATGTCCTGTTGGAGGTCACACCGGTGGAAATCAGGAAGAACAAACCCACAAACATGATTCAATCCCTCCAGGCAGCCTGGGTGCTCCCTGCCAGGGGATCTCTGCAGGATTAAGGTGTCACCACACCAAACACTCCTGATTTCCAGGGTGTGCCATCCCCACGGGGTTCAGGGATTGATTGCCCCGCTCAGCTCCTCCAGGGCACCGAGCACCTGCCAGCTTTAACTTTATTTATTTTCCCGTGCTGAAAGGACACAAAAGGAGACAATTCKTCCTCTCTTGGTGSAGTTTTCCTCTCCTCAGTGCAGCCYAGATTTCTGTTAAATCACAGTATTTTATGGAAAGAGTAATAAAATATTGGAATGGGTGTGGAGGAGGTGGTGGAGTCACCATCCCTGGGTGTGTTTATAAAAGATTGGATGTGGGGCTTGGTGCCATGGTTTAGTTGAGGTGTGGGGCATGGGCTGGACTCGATGATCTTGAAGGGCTCTTCCAACCCTGGTGATTCTGGGATTCTGGGACTGATTCTATGATTGATTCTGTGATTGATTCTGGGACTGATTCTGTGATTGACTCTGTGATTGATTCTGTGATTGATTCTGTGAATGATTCTTTGATTGATTCTGGGATTGATTCTGTGATTGATTCTGGGATTCTGGGATTCTGGGATTGATTCTGTGATTGATTCTGGGATTGATTTTTTGATTCTTTGATTCTTTGATTCTGTGATTCTCTAATTCTGTGATTGACTCTGTGATTGATTCTGTGAATGATTCTGTGATTGATTCTGGGATTGATTCTGGGATTGATTCTGGGATTCTGGGATTCTGGGATTGATTCTGTGATTCAGGAATTCTGGGATTGATTCTGTGATTCTGGAATTCTGGGARTCTGTRAAATMTTGGTGTAAATGTTGATATGAGCTGCCTCTTCAGCACCAAACCATCACAAGTTTTCCAGATGTTCCATTGGTTGTGAATTTTGCAAACAGCCCCACATTTCCATTTCCTTTTAGACCCCAAACATCCCTGCTGACGAGCATTCCCATCTGCCAAACAATTCAGCTGATTCCAGCCAACAGCAGGAATTACCACGCTCTCATCCACTCTTCTTGTTCTTTTTTTTTTTTTTWAATTGCAACATCTCTTCTGCAYCTGCATTAAAAAGSTYTGTAAACYCAGCTCTCKATGTGTCCTGCAGCCCTCAGAATTTTGGGGTTAGAAAATATGAGTGGGATGGAAAATCAGGGGGTTTGTTCAGAGCAGGAAGTGAGGCAGCCTCTTGGTCCATTGTGGAATTTACTCCGGTTGTTTCATTTTTTAAAATGTTTCCATTTTTCCTCTGACCCAGGGCTGGTGCAGCTTTTCATTTCTGTGCCTGTTTTCAGCAGTGGTGCCTGCTGGATTGGGCCAGAAATTAAAAATAYTGTGCACAATCAAAAATTGGGAATAGCCAAATTGGCTGAGTGAAAATGAGGAGCGTTGAGTYTGACAGGAATAACTCAGGAACAACAGAGGGTTCAAATGAGGGAGACACCTCTCATTTCCATGGGGAACAGAAAAGATTTGGCTGCAGGAAGGGAAGGATGGAAAATAGGGAATAAAAAAAATAGGGAATAAAAGAGATTTTTAAAAATTGGGAATAAAAAAGTAGGGAATAAAAAGATTTTAAAAAAATATTGAAAAAGGAGATGAAAAGCAAATAGGGAATGAAAGAGATTTTTTTTAATATTGAAAAAATTGTTGAAAATAGGGAATAAAACAGGTGAAAATAGGGAATAAAAATACTGTAGGATGGACTCAGCAGTGCCAATAATTTCTCAGAGCAGCTTTAGCCACAATCTAGAGGAAAAAACTGTTCTGTGTGTGAAACCTCCAGCCCTTACATGAAAATCCTTGTTAAATGCAATCCTGCCCCAGCTTTGTCTCTTTTTGGTGCAATCTTTCAGTTTCAATCTTTCCTATGATGTGAGATAATGAAGATCTTACCTGAAAATAATTYACATTTCTTTATTTTGCAGTTCAAATAGTGAGGTTGAAGGGCACCCAGGACAAATCCTGTGCTCGGGAATTCCCTCTGAACACCCAGGACAAACCCCGAGCTCGGGAATTCCATTTGGGGCACCCAAAACAAACCCCAGTGCTCAGGAATTGCCTCTGCGGAACCCAGGACAAACCCCACACTCGGGAATTCTTTTAGGGCAGTGCCCAGGACAAGCCCTGAGCTCAGGAATTCCCTCTGGATACAAATCTCAAGCTCAGGAATTCTCTCTGGAGCACCCAGGACAAATCCTGTTCTCAGGAATTCCTTTTGGGCAGCATCAGGCACAAACCCCACACTCAGGAATTCCCTCTGGAGAGCATCACCAGCGCAGTCTGGCTGCACAAAGGGAAAAGCACCATTTTTTCCCAAATTTCCAACCTCACCAGTGGGGTGGAGAGCTCAGGTTTATCGGGAACCTCGGGATGCAGGGAAGGGAAAAGCTGCAGCACCCCAAGGAGCCACCRAGGACGATCGGGGGGAATCCRAAATTTTATTCTWCAGKTTTAGGTCACATTTATWTTGTGACAAATACAATAACACCCCCTGAATTCTGATTTAGCAGGCAGAGGAAGGAAAAGGGATTTCCTGAGCTCCTCCTCAGCGGTTGGTTGGGKTTTTAACCCTGGAATCCCTTTAAAGGGCTGGGATTGATTTGGGAATTGTTAGGAATTGCAATAGTGATAAATAGGTCTTCAAAGCAGAAGGGGAGGAAAACATGGAGCTGTTTAATTCTGTGACCAAAATAAAAAAAAGTTTTTTTACTTCTACAAAGTTTTTCTGTTATAAATAGACTCAAATAACTAGAAAGGGTTAATTCATAATCTCCAGATTACCCTTGAGGCTTTGAAAAACTGTTTTTACTTTTGYTGTATCAACTTTTAAAAGGGTTTTTACTTTTGCTTTATCAACTTCTTTTGGAGTGGGGASATTCTGGAGGTTCTTGCTCACCTGCTGAATAAAATTCTGGAAACATGGAATAAATGCTGAATAAATTGTGTGATAGGCAAAGTGATATTTCCCCATAGTAAAMTCCAGGTAAATGAAAAACCTCAACTTTTCCAAATAACCCACAGCAGAAACTCCTGATTCATGAGGATTCAGCCCTCCAGGGCAATATTTAGGCACGGAAAAAAGTGAAGTTGTTTCCACTCRGTTCTCAATCTCCCTTTCCATGACAAGGTATAATTTTGCTGGGCTTCCCTCGGGGTTGTGCTATCTATAAACCTTCCAGGAAAAGCTGCTGAGCYTGCTCAGGAAAGGGCTGGGAAGATGTGCCATCCCCAGCTGGTTTTGTGGTGCAGCTGGTGCACATTTCCTACAGCTCCAGCACACCTTCCCATCCGTGCCCTCACATTTTCCRGCAAGTTCCGCCACTAATTTGGCCCTGTGGCTTCATATTGTGATTTCAGCATGGCTCAAAAACACCCAGCCCTGCCTGAACACAAATAAACCCAAGCCCAGCTATCAGAAGAATTCTTTATTTTAAAAGGTTTTTTAAAAATACTTTAAAAAGTGCAATTTTTTACCTCAAAAATGTCATATTTTCCGTTCTCCCCATGGANATTTCTTACCTCAAAAATGTAATATTTTCCGTCCTTCCCATGGAAGGCTTTGAATCATGATTTCAGCAGGGCTCAAAAATATTCAGCCCTGCCTGAACACAAATAAACCCCTACCCAACTATCAGAAAAATATTTTAAAAGAATTTTTTAAAAATGCTTTAAACAGTGCAATTTCTTACCTCAAAAATATAATCTTTTCCATCCTTCCCGTGGACGGCTTTGACAGCACAGATGTCCAAACCGCCAAAGATTTCAGAGCAGGTGTCAACCCAAAGCTTGTACCTGTTGCAGAAAAATAATTTTCCCTCTGAGTGTCTCGTTAGGCTCTTGATCTCTCACAGGCTCACCTAATAATGTATTTAATATAATATTCCCCCTAAATTCACAATTTTCACCATACTGTTGGTTTTAGTGRATTTGGATTTCTCTGAGTGGTGGCTGAAAGGAATTCCATGGTAAGGAATTCCCTGGTAAGGAATTCCCCAATTAGAATTTCCTGGTAAGTAATTCCTCAATAAGGAATTCCCCAATTAGGAATTCCCTATTAAGGAATTCCCTTTTAAGGAATTCCTTGATAAGGGATTCCCTGGTAAGGAATTCACTGATAAAGGGATTCCCTGATGCGGAATTCCCAATAAGCAATTTCCGAATAAGGAATCCCGTATTAAAGAATTCCCTGGTAAGGAATTTCCCAATAAGGCATTGCCTGGTAAGGAATTCCCTGATGCAGAATTTCCTGGTAAGAAATTCCCCAATAAGCAATTCCCCGATAAGGAAATCCCTGGTAAGGAATTCCCTGATAAGAAATTCCCTGGTAAGGAATTCCCTGATGCAGAATTCTCTGATAAGGAATTCCCCAATAAGGAATTCTCCAATAAAGGATTCCCCAATAAGGAATTCCCCGATAAGGAATTCCCCAATAAGGAATTCCCCCATAAAGCATTCCCCAATTAGAAATTCCTCTCCTTTCCCCAGCCTGCAGCAAAGCTGTGGCTCTGTGTCCCGACCCAGTGCCCTGCTGGAGCTGTCCCAGTTTGCACTGGTCCAAACACGGGTTTGCTCTCAGCTGAAGGTGAATTGTGCTAAAAAACAACTCCACAGAAGGGGGATTTGTCACCTGAGCGATTTCTGTGGCTTCAGGGGTGCCAAGGGGGGTCAAAAAGTGGGAACAGGGTTTGTGTTTGTCTGGGAAGCTCCGAGCTGTGCATCTGTGCCCAGGATATTCAACCCTTCCAGCRTGAGTTATGGATGGGTTTGTTCCTGGACAGGAAAAAGGGTGAGAGGCTCCATCCCAAATCGGGGCTGGGCAAAAAGGGAAATCCAGCCAGGCCATTCCCACAGAACCAAATACAGGAATTATGGGGGTTATGGGGCGTGCGGACCAGGGTTGTGTTCCTCGTGTAGGGTTTTACAGACTACAGCAAAACCCAGATGGAATTTAAAGAGTTTAAAGGAATTCTAGAAGAGTTCTGCTTCAAACACTTCTTACAGTGTTGAAAATAAAAATCCTTCCGTTTCTTTTGTAATGTCATGGTAAGGGATATAGGCCGAGGATGGATTCTGCACCCATTCTACCAGCAGAAATTTGAATTATTTCRGTTTTTTCTCTGTGAATACAGAGATTACCTGACCAGCAAGGGGGTGAGGGGGSATTTACTGGGAGAACAGCCAGCAATTCCTGCAGTGTCCCCACCACTGAGAGAGCCCAAAGGCGAGGAGTGAACCCCAGGACCCCAAAAGCTTTGGGGATGTTCAGTGCCCCCAGCAGAGCTGGGCAGGGGCTCCAGGAGGAGGAAATGAGCCTGGGATGATGCAGGCTCTGATGTCACTGTGACACCAGCTGAAGGATGTGATTTGCTACAAAACCCCCAGATTTAAACATTCATTTCTCATGAATTCTCCTCTTTCCCTGGCTCACCCTTGAGTCTAAAGCTGAGCTATTTCCTCCTCCAGCCCCTCTCCTGCTCCAGCCCTGCAGCCCTGATGACAGATCTGCCACCTCACAGCATTTTCCACCAAAAAAAACCCCCTCTGCTGTAATAAACAAAGCATTTGATTTCATTGTAGCATCAAAAGTGATTCATTGCTGGGCTGAGAGCCTTACTCATGTGTAAATATCTTCAGGAACAGCATCCTTTCCAAGTAAAATTATTCAGTCACATTCTTTTTGWTTTCTTCTATCAAATCTCTTCCGGTGGAAAAGTTTTCCTTTTAAGCAGCCCACAAAGAAATCAATGCGACTGTTTGAAAAGACACTGATGGTAATATCCTAGCAATGAAAATATTTTTTTTTTCCTGTGAGAAGCTTGTTTTTTGTCCAATAGAAGAGGGTTTTTTGGATGCCTGACAATTTAACCATCTGCGGGTGCACTGACTGACCAGACTTCTGGCACG